CACATTATAATTATTTTAGACATTCACATCTTCCATTTCTAGAATATATAAGAAGATATAATGTCAGAGCTAGAAGTTTGAGAGAATTCGGAGCATGAAAGCAAACTAGAGATAACACATCCGTGTACCGAGTCAATTATCAAATGTAAATATGTATTTTTTTTTAGATAAATTAGGACAGAAGATAAATACAAGGTTTAGAGGTATATTTTCTTTGTTTTCATTGATGTTTTTTTATTATCAGCAATAAAAATATTTATTATAAAGACTTCATTTGGAAGTATGCCTCGTTAAAACCCCCTAAACCAAAATGGGGAAAAGAGTACATTCCACCGAGTACAAGACAAGAAAAAGCAAACAAAAGCATACATATAAGAATAAAACGAAACACTACAATAAGATTGGTATTTAGCTGCATTTACTAAAAAAACACCGTTAAACTTGTACATCTCGCATCGTTTACATACAAAACGCCACAAAATGGAAAAATTAGTGATGTTTACGTGAATACGCCACTATAGATACATACATTAGTGGCATTTTTGTAAGAAATGCCTCTATATCCTCATATATTAGTGGTGTTTGTCTTACAAACGCCGCTATAGACACGTACATTGGTGACATTTGACTAACAAACGCTACTATAGGCACGTAGATTAGTGGCGTTTGTCAAACAAATGCCGCTATATCCTCATATATTAGTGGCATTTGACAAACAAATGCCACATGAGTAACATTTATTTAACAATCGTCGCCATAGAATTTATATATCCCCATTTGTCTCTTGTCTGATCCCTAATTTAATGTTTATTGTTATTGGATTTTTTATTTTTATTTTTGTTAAGTATTTCAACTTAATTATTGTCATAATTAAAATTGAAGTTTGTTGTGATTGGATAATGGTACATGATGTTAAAACTGAGTAGTACAGAATAAAAAAATAATATTCTTCAAATTAGTTAACCTTAGTGGCGTTTTGTGAATACAAACGCCATTACAAGTCATGATGATTTACGGCGATTTGCGAATAAAACGCCACTAATGGAGTAGACATTTGTGGTGTTGGTGACGAAACAGGCCACTATATACGTACTCAATATCGGCGTTTGTAGTAAAAAATGCCACTAAATATCATAACATATAGCAGCGTTTGGGTGAAAAACGCTACCATATATCATGACTATTAACGAGGTTTGGGTGAAAAACACCACCATATATCGTGTCTATTAACGGCGTTTGGGTGAAAAAATGTTACTATATATCATGACTATTAGCGGCGTTTTGGTGAACAAACGCCGCTAAAGATCTCTATTTGTTGTGGCATATTATGCTCACAAACGTCGCGACCTGTTGTGGCGTTTGATTTACCAGCGCTCTTACTAGTGACAAGAGAGCTTTTAGCAGCACTTAAAAATGCCGTTGTATGCCTGAAAAAACACCACGAAAGACTTGTTTTGTTGTAGTGTTAAAGTAAAGCGGACAAAGACCCGAAAACAACAAAACACCAAAACAGACCATCCCACATCAAACCAGCTACACCGAGCATTCGCGATGTTCACCATCACACCTTGAATAATTCAACCTTGAATCCCCGTCGACAGCCAACCATTCGGCCATTGAGATAGTAGAACACGAAACAAGATTGAGACTCACCCTATAATAGGATTAAAATAACAAAAGAGATTAAAATGACGAAAGAAATTAACGTTGGAAGCTAAAATTTTCATTATGGTAAAAAAAATGCTATATCATTAATTTTAATCAAATCAATGATTATTTGGGTCAAAATGTTATCGATCAAGTGAATGGTTTCATTTTCTTTTCTTATTCATTCTAACATGTATTGTCGTTGGAACCGGTCTCTCATGTGTAAAAGTTCGCTTTTCTACTTCCACCTGCATGTCATATAATTTATAGCTATGAACAGTGGCAGATCCATGTTTGTGTCAGAGTGAGAACCAAATTTTCTTCGAATAATTATTTATTTTATTGATTGTGTCTACCCTACATAAAAAAATTATATTATTAATATATGTGTGTCAACTCTTAAAAATATTTTTAGATAGTTCATTAACTGGTCATTAACTATGAATGTGGGTGCAAGATGCATATTCATACATACAACTGTCATTTTTGACATTTCAGGTTATTTCCTCCATTTAAATAGAAAAAACAAACCAAGGAAAGCAACCACATCGAAACATTCGGCGCTAACGGCATGAATTGCCATTTGCAGCGGAGTCGAGTACAACTCTAGCTGTTTTTGCCTCGCATCAGTGCCAATCACGTCCAAGATCTAACGCTTAAATATGATGTATTCTAGTTGTTGTATCCCGCCTTAGTATTTTTTTCTAGTATAACTATTTATATATGATATGTTAATCGACTAATCTAGATCATGTACTGCAGAGGCAAAGACGACTTTCTCAACCCAATTTGCTTGACTCACAAATACTAGGATTCAAACCTCTAACCTTGCTTAAGAGATCTAGTACCCTATCCCACTAGACCCTCTCAAGATCTATAGCGTAGTTTTTGGAACAAACGCGGCAAAAGGTCAAGATCTATAGCGGCGTTTTTGGACCAAATGCCGCAAAAGTTCAAATCTATAGCAGCATTTTTAGAACTAACGCTACAAAAGGTTGAGATCGATAGCGACATTTTTGGAACAAACGCCGCAAAAGGTTGAGATATATAACGGTGTTTTTGAAACAAACGTAGCAAAATGTCAAATCTATAGAGGCGCTTTTTGAACAAACGTCGTAAATTATTAGATCCATAGCGGCGCTTTTTGGATACAAACGTCGCTAATTACCTTTCTCTAGAATTTAGTATAGGTTCTTTCACTTTCAATTAAAAAAATATTGTTCAATAGAATTTAGTCTTCATTGCTCTTTCATGGGGAAAGGAAGTACAAAAACAGGTTTCCTTGTTTGATGAAGCATTGTTAAGTTTTTCCTCCGTGTAAACTGTATATGGAGAAACTCTTCATCCATTTCACCAAATAAATCCCCTAGCTCTGGTTCACCAAGAAGAATCCTTGCGCGCTTCAATGCTTCACTTGAAATAGATAACGACCTTCCACCTACAGTATGAAACTTGATTGAAGGTGGCATGGGAACTGAATCAAACATTAAACAAAAAAATTAAAGTAAAAGAGAGAAGTGTTTACTTGGAGTAAAAGTAGAGGCAGTGTCGCCTTCATTGAGGATAGATAATGCTTTTGCAATTGAAGATTCTTTCAATGCCACAGATTTCCCTAATCCGGTTCTAAATACCGGGTATTTATCCACTCCTCTATCATCTTTCTCAATAAGCTTCGAACATCCTGCGTACGATCTATGAAATTTGAGAGTACAAAATAAAAATATATCAACGAAAAGATTCAGAGATTATTACCTTGAAGTAGGAGATCAGCCATGGAAAGGTATGAATCAATAGGAGTTTCTTTCGAGTCATCATCGTGTTTCGACGGTAAGAACGGACCGAAAGCCTCCCAACGATAATTTGATATGTCGTCAGAGCAAATACACCACGTGGACATTCCGATGATTTTGCTTAGGGATTATGGATAAAATTTTCTAAAGTTTAATCCACAATCAATTTCTCTTACTCTGTCCATAAATATGGGTGATCGAGTTACTTACTGTATGTCTTTTGATGTGTTAACATTAGTAAACACAAACCAAAAGCGGCGAAAAGATTCAAAGATTGTTACCTTGGAGTTGGAGAAATAAGTTTTTCTATTCATTCAAAAGCATGAAAACAAAATAATGAAAAAGCAATGAAAAAAGAAACAATGATAAATTAAGGATCATAAATTGATTTTAACTAAAACAAATAAATGTTATATATGCACTATTATTCATGCATCAGTACAGAACAACAAGAATTACCTCAGACAAATGAGGGTAGAGACCACTGATGCAACCTTCACCAACTGCACCAAGAGTCAAAACAACAGCTTCCCTATCTTTCCAGGCCTCATAAACAGCAGCTAGCTTGGCTTACAAAAAATCAACAAGAGGAAAAATCTAGATGAAACTCCCATGACTAGTCTCTCCAATTAAGTTCATGCACAGAGCAGCAAAAGTTTGACATTAGCAGCAAACAATTATATTTTTTTATCAAAGTAGCATATCTATATCGTAGCAAATTATTTTAATTTGCAAAGTTAGTACATGAAACAATCTTATTTTCTGATATGCAACTTGGAACAAGGTTAGGTAACATCTATTTGCCAAAATGAACTCATAATGCAGAGGATTTAGTGAATCATTACTGAGTATAAAATACCTACATGTGTTTAGAGTCAAGATAAAGAGTCCCAAATAAATTCATAAACCATCTAGTAAAATTAGATAGGAATTAAATTGTATCAATAATGTATTATTTCAAAACAGAAAATATATATTTATACCCAAATGAACTCATATGTATGATGGAATTTTACATAACAAAGAACAAAATCAAAAGAAAGTTGTTGCCTTGGCCGATGTAAATAGTCACAATGACATACATAGGCATACTTTGACAGAAGGAATGACCTACAAAAAACAAGTCTTACAACAAGGCCATATGTTGGCCGTACTTACAATTAAGAATGCTAGCACCCTACATCAAACTAGAACTGTATAGATCTTTTTTCTCTTGAAGATGAAAGGATAGAAAGTCCACTGCAAATAGAACAATTCACAAGTTAGAAATGGAGATAAAAGATGCTAATAGAGCAGAATAAAAGAACTGCATGTCATGTACAGATGTACTCAAAATGTAAGAACTGAACAAAAGTAATAAAAGAAACACCAATAACATAAGAGTAACTTTACCAATACAAATGATAAAAAGACACAGCTGAACAATGTCTCACTGTTATAGCCTTTATCTTGGCCAAGCTCCTAAATTTACGCGAAAACTAGATATAATAAGATATTTCACCAAATAATTGGTATGAACTAGAGATAAAACAAAGAACAAAACCAAAATAAAGCTTTTCCTACGGGAAGAAGAAAGAAACCAAGATCCTGAAGTGTTCGCCCTGGCCGATGTAAATAATGAACTCCTCGGCCAGCTAAACCATGAATATACTACATACACAAAACCAGATATTAGACCAACAACCTTATGAATGAATGTTCTAATTTAGCATACTTGAAGTTTGGACAATACAAAAACACTAAACAAGCTCACCCAAAACTCATTGAGAGGTAATGAAATGCAACATATGAAAGCTTAAACAAACGATAATGACATCCATTTATGTAAAAAAAAATTAAAAAAATCATGGTAAAGCAATATTATATGTATGAACAAGTAGCAGTGTGCCAGATTTTACTTGCCAAAAATAAAAAATCAAAACAAGCATCTCTGTTTTTTAAGAAAGATGGGAGCTTTGCCACTCACCATTTACTATTTCAAATACGAAAATTGTTTCAGAAAGAAATTAACTTTGAAAATTTTTAAACGCAACATATCGAAAAAACGAATATGGGTTAAATCTGAAACGGAATAAAACCTGAAAAACTATTCCGGCAAGAAGGTATTTCCAATTGTCAAGAAAAAGGTTGATCTCTGTAGCTGTCTCTGAACAAATTCTCTTCCACAACTACAAAAACATGGCGCCCTAATTTAGCCGGTGCAGTTTCATAAATAGATTTGAGACATCATACGGCATCAATAAGATTGACGGCAACAAGGATGGCGTGTGGCGGAGAAGATATTGTACCAGAGAAGAATTTTAGGGAAGAAGAGGGAAGATAGGAAAGAAAAAGTTCAAAAGAAATAGTGATTGGGCAGGGAGATATATTTATCCTTTCGCGGCGTTTGGAGGAAAAAGCGCCACTAATGCATGTGTTTTTGCAGCATTTTTTATAACAAACGCCAGTAATGTACAATTATATCGCGTCGTTTTTAATACAAACGTCACTATATATTTAATCTATTGCGACATTTGTCTAAAAAGCCGCTATAGTATGAGCTTTTAGTGATGTTTTTATAAAAATGTCGCTAATGTACTATTTTTTGGTGTTTGGGTTAAAAATGCCGCGATATGTTTAAACTTAATGACGTTTACTATAAAAAAATGCCGCTATTAACGCCATTGTAGGCCTATTCTACTGTAGTGCATCTTCAACTTTTTCTATTTCGTTCAATGCATCTTTCAAAACTTCAATGATTGCTGGTTTAATCTTAAGATCTATTGTTTCTCCTCACCGTGGAAAAAGCTTCTCCTTCATAACTTTAAGATCCATCCTTCCTTCGGCTGCCATCTTTGTCATGGATTCAAAGAATATTTTCATCAGAAATTCTTCCTCCTGCTGAGGTGAAGATGATGCATCCAAATTTTCATTTGTATCTTTCACAAGGCCTTTATTGACAACATCTTGGAGCCCTTCTGAAATGTTTTTTTTCGTCTCATCCTCTTTAACTTTTTTATTCTCAACCTTATTACCAGTTTTGACCTCTTATTTACTCTCTTCTTTCTTTTATTTGGATTTTCCTTCCACGAATTGCCTTGAGAGAATCAGGGCCAATGAGAACAAAATAAAAACGATCCTTGCCATCTCTTCTCTTCTTTAACATTAAGCTGAAACAATAAGAATTGTTCAAAAGTGGTCATTAAGATTGAAAATGAGATGGAATCTAATCAGTTTAGGATGAGATATTTTCGTTGATTTCAAGGTTTGTTGAATGGTTTAGTGTTTAATAGTCATACACTAATAAAATATATATTACTTTTCCCCAAAAAAATGCAAAATTTTCTCCCTAATTGACTTACACCCCAAATGCAAGAAAATTGATCTAACCCATTTAACTTTTGCTGATGATATGTTAATATTTTGCAAGGGCAACCTTGAATCTGTCATGAGAGTTATTACAGTTCTTGACTATTTCTATGAGCTCTCTGGTCTTAAACTCAATGCTCTTAAGTGTGAGATATTTATTGTTGGCATCTCTGTTCAAGCTATTGATAATATTACTAATATTTCTGGATTCAAGCTTGGTCTCCTGCCTGTTCGATATCTGGGAATTCCCCTGGTCACTAGAAAACTCACAATTAAATACTGTCATCCTCTTATCAACAAGATTAAATCTAGACTTCATCAATGGCCTAGGATGAAACTCAGCTATGCAGGCAGGTTTGAACTTGTTAAAACTTTCCTCTTTAGTGTTGCCAACTAATGTTGCAAGGAACTAATTTTACCCCAATCCATCATCAACAAGATTGAGCAAATCTGCTCTAGATATTTCTGGAAAGGAGCTGACATACCTGCTGCTAGAGCAAGAGTGAGCTGGGACAAAATTTACATGCCTAAGTCTAAAGAAGGATTAGGCCTCAAGGACATTAAGTCTTGGAACAGAGTGTGCATGATCATTCTTATTAAAAATTTACTTGTTGGGGAGGGCTCATTATAGGTTGCATGGATTCATAGTTACATAAAAAAGCAACAAAATTTTTGGCTCATGGAAGACTCTTTGAACACTAGCTGGAGCTTTAGGAAAATTTTGAAGCTTCGAAGTGTTTCTCAACCCCTACTTACTGCAGGAGTCGCGAGCACTAAGGAAATTTATGAAGAGGTACGTTCGAAGAATAGTAAAGTCCCAAGGCAAAAGCTGATATGGTATCCTCTTCACATCCCTAAGCACAACATTATTTCTTGGATGGTAATTCTGGATCGACTACCCACCAATGATAGGCTGCAAAGATTTGGATTAGTTACTAATGATCAATGCATCCTCTGTTCTGAAGCAAGTGAATCCAGGAATCATTTTTTTGCAGAATGCAAGATTGCTGCTTCCATTTGGAACTCTATTCTTATTCTCTCTGGTCTTCACAAACCTTCTTTCACTTGGGCTAATTTACTGGTTTGGGCGACTGCGACTTGGAAAGGAAAATCTCTAATTACTAACATCACCAATGAACTCAAATGCAGTTATTTATTCATGTCTCGGATCAACGTACAAATGTTGAATCGAAATTCATATTGTAACAAATTCTCTACACAACCTAAATTGATGTATATCTCATAATTAGCCTCATAATTAATATATATCCTTTTTTTGAACATCAAAAATTATAATTTATTATTAAAGGGGAGCAAAACACAATAACAAGTGTTTTATTATTATATCACTAAGGTAAATCAACATAAATTTGAAAACTTCCTTCAAAGAATATAAAATAAATTTTAGTATGATCAATTTGATTTGGTAATTTATTTGTTCAATATTTAAGCTTTATGAAACTTTAATGGATTCAAGAATTAAGTAATATACAACCAAAATTATTTATTTTAATTATTAGTATCTTTCTTAAAAGATATCTTTATAGAAATTATCATAAGATAATATTGGAAGAATTATGTAGGAAAAGTTGAACTTGTAGGTCAAAAGACAATTTTTTTTTGAGAAAATTTCATAGCCTAATTATCTTTAAAGAAAAAAATTCATAAAACTTTTTTATTAAGCCTAATTATCTTTTTAAAGAAGAAGTATGAATGCCTAAAATAAATATAATGTTTGTAATATTTATTTTGAAAAAAGAAAAGCACAAACATAAAGTTAAAATAAATGGCTAGAAAGCATTAGACCAATTACGGAGATAAAATTGCAATTTCTGAAAATTTCTCAGAAAAAAGTCATCTCCATCTTACTCGTGTATGGCTATTAAGCATTAGATCAATATATAAACTTGAAAATCGCAGAAAATATCTCATTTTAAACTCTTTAAATTTCATGTCAATCTCAGTTTTAATTATCACTTTCCAAGTAATTCTTATTGTTTTAGCTTAACCTTAAAGAAAAGAAGAGATGGCAAGGATTGTTTTTGTTGTGTTCTCATTGGCCCTTATTCTCTCAATGCAATTCATAGAAGGACAATCCAAAGAAGAGACTCCCAAAGAAGAGGTCAAAGGTGGTAATAAGAATGAGGATAAAAAAGTGACAGAGGAGGTTGTGAAAAAAGACATTTCAGAAGGACTCCAAGATGCCGCCAACAAAGGTCTTGTAAAAGATACAGATGAAAATTTGGATGCATCAGCTTCACCTAAACAAGAGGAGGAATTTCTATTGAAAATATTCATTGAAGCCATGACGAAGATGGTAGACGAAGGAAGGATGGACCCTAAAGATCTAAAGGAGAAGCTTTTCCCAGGAGGAGGAGAAACAATTGATCTTAATATTGAACCAGTCACCATTCAGGCTTTGAAAGATGCAATAAGCGAAACAGAGTCTGTGGAAACTGGTGCTGCAGATTTCGCAAAACGTGCACTGTAATTTTTTGTAATATATATATGTTATGCATGTATCCATGCATCTAAGGCTATGGAATTCATGGTCTAATAATGGTCGTTAGTGACCGATGATGGTGAACGACTGAGAGAAATTTTGATTGGATTTAAAAAATAAATTATTATTTTATATAAAATTTAAATGTTAAATTGTTACTTTATCTAAAATTTAAGAATTAAATTAGTATTTTATTTAAGAATTAAATTAATATTTTATTTAAAAGATTTTTGTTTAAATTTAAAATAATTTTCTTTTACAAATATATCGGTCATCAAAATTAATATTATCTTACATTTCAATCATCAAAATGTTATAAATAGATAATGTAAATAATTAAAATATTATTTTTTAAATTAATAATCAAAAGTGAATATGAATGACATAACTTAAATCGAATAAGAATTTATTTTTGTTTCTGAAATAAATAATATCTTACCGTGAATACTATGTCTGTGTTGAAATATTAACACCAGCATATTAATTATGTTATACTTCAATAAATGTTAATAAGTTGAAGTTATTTAATAGTTTATTTAATGTTGTAAAAGTTACGTGGTTCCTTTCCTATATTAAGGATGCTCTATGTTAACTTTTAAATCACACCAAATAAAATCAAGTGCTCTTTTATTTGATTTTTGTTTCTTTTTCTTATTGTTTTGAACCTTTGTTGGCTTGTGGGGTATTCAACAATTGGTATTAAAGCTTCAGTGAGAGTTGTTTGATTGTTGATAAAGTAGTGCGATAGTGTGATGGTGCGTGTTTAGGAAAGTACTGAGAAAGGTTTGGTATTTAAACGAACCGTGTGATCCACCTCTCTTTCTTGGGAACTTACCTAGTGTATGGTCCACAAACTATTTTATTTTAGTTGTTCACCATCGTCGGTCAATGACGACCATTATTTGACCCTAAATTCCATAGCCTTTAGATGCATGAATACATGCATAACATATATATATTGCATGTGCATCTTACCAAACAATTACAGTCATGTTTGCGGAATCTGCAGCACCAATTTCCACGGATCTTAGGATAAATTGTTTCTCCTCCCCCTAGAAAAAGCTTCTTATTCAGATCTTTAGGGTCCATCCTTTTTTCTTCTACCTTCTTCGTTATGGCTTCAACGAATATTTTCAACATAAATTTTTCCTCTTGTTGAGGTGAAGCTGATGCATCCAAATTTTCATCTGTATCTTTCACAGAGTCTTTGTTGGCAGCATCTTAGAGTACTTCTGAAATATTTTTTTCCGCAACATCTTCTGCCACTTTTTTACCCTCATCCTTTTTATCACCTTTGACCCATTTTGAATGTACTTCTTTGTCTTC